TCAAATGGGCGGCGCGACCCCGCCCATCGCGCCAAACGACCGGCTCCCGTTGAAAACAAACAACCTTCGAAGGGGCTGGACTGTTTGCCTTACACTGTCTGCCTCCCTCCTCCCCCTAGCACTGCCTCCGCCGGCACGCCAGCCGGCCGGCGGACTATGAAAGCAGCCATAGATTTCAGTTTCTTCTATGTTACTGCCACATCGCTCCGTAGCTATGCAAGAGGTAATCCAAATAGTTGACTCAGCTATCCAGCCAGCAGAAGGTGGGCGGTTATGGCTAAGCTCGTTTTTTAAGTGTAAACCAAAAGTATGTGTAATGTCAAGAACTATGCGTAATGTCAAATGGATTACGACTGGGTCTCACCCGTAAAGAAAGTACGTCCCGTAAGTGCGTAGATGTTCCACCGTGCTCACGGTGGTCAAGCAAGCGGCTACTCCATGAGCAATCAGAGTTGCACTGAATAATAGGAGTTCTGGGCCTTACCTCTGCAAAGAAGTTGACGTAACTCTTGAGCGCGCAGCTGTTTGCCGTTCTGGAAATTGATAAGGCTATAGCTCGGCGAAGCCAGCTTTTTAAACATCGGATCACTCTTTGCGGTTCCTTGTAGATACTCTATAACACTTTGTCGACTGAGAAATTTTTTTAAGGACAGAATGGTTCTTGGAAAGAAGTGATTAATTAAACAATGGGCCTGAAAGTGAGAAGAACAAGAGAAGGAGCATGGAGCAGTTGTGCCGTGAAAGCACAAATTCCATGTATGTGTCTTTTTGCAAATCTAGGTTCTGAGGTTTGAGATGAATTTTGAGGTCGGACAAGTTGAGACGGAATAGTATTATTGTCACTTACCGATTGTTATAATTATTCCTCCTTCAGAGCGGAATCCATTGGCAACTGTCGTTGGATCGTCGTACAATGTCTGTCTTAAAACACGTGCATACGAAAGTTTTAGCAAATTTTTTTTTGGACTGACATCATGACAAACGAAAGCGAAAGATTGCTCAAAACATCAGTCCCATCATCTTATTTGAAGAATGTTTTTTGTCTCCAAAGGAAGTACCTCTCCATTTCATCAACCATACTTTGAACAGTGAAGGTGTGAAATGGAGCTCGTTCTTTTTAGATTTCTCACACTCCTGTTACTGTTACAGTTCTTCTTATGTATAAAAACAAAAGCGCTGTCTCTGTCTGCACACCCGTCAAGTAATTCGCTATAAACAAAAGGTTCACCTGAAGAGGCTGCGTTGTGTTTGGGTTGGCTGGAGCATTGACTAAAATGTACACCTGAGTTGAATGGGGCCCGGGCCTTGGGTTTGCTTACCTGCCTCTGGGGAGCGGTAGTGAAAAGATGCTAGCAAAGGGTGCATTACATCGGGGGGTATGGTTCAAAATTAATCGCATTTCACTCAAACGAAATGGAACCCCAAGCTATGCGGTGTAGCGAGTGCAGAGAAGGGTGCAGTTGAACAAAGGATCCTCAAGTTTGATGGAGACCAAGTGGGGCTTACATCAACTACATTACAGGACTCAATAACTGCGTATGATCGGTTCTCTGAAAAATCCGCTCAATTGCGAAAATTTGGTGAAAGATGACCATGTGCATAGCACAGTGAACACACCAGGCAAGCTAAGCATTTCCGGGCTCCTGGATTGTGTTTTAGACGTGAGAAACGTATCCCAAGAACCCACAATTCGGATCCAAATAGGTCGTGGATCAGGGAGGATCGTACGAAGTAGGTATCAACTCGATTGAAGGGAAAGAAGCTGTGTTTTGATTCAGGGAAAACCGGGACAGTATAGATGACGCAAAAACTCACTATTTTATTACTGGCTCTGGAGTTCTGAAGGGAATTGGAGTTGAAGGAGGAGCTTCTCAAAGAAACCATGTTCAAAGGGAGTGCGCAGTACATCGCTTCAAGCTGAGTTCATATGTGGTGCTTACTTCGGAGTGCAGACATGGTACAGGGTTTTACTTGGTTTTGTAATGATTTCAAACGATCCTTATCAAATTTATCCTTCGATGCGGATTGTCATGACCAAATGATGGCTTAAGCCATTGAGCGGGTAAACTAATGGTGATTGAATTTCCACAGCTTTACAGAAACCATTATTATTTATGAAATACAAAGCTTTTAAAATCACGTACGTGTAAGTACTTCCGACGATAATGATAACCTGACGAGCTGCACGACGATGGGTTGAAGATGCGAATCTTGCTCTTGCCAATCGGATCGCCCTAGATTCTTTAGCAGTAGAACGAGCATTCTATTGCGAAAATTATTCTACTCTGATCTGCCACTGTGATTTATTCAGATAACAGACACATACCATTTAACTTAGCTAGGATAAATTAGGATGGGTGCTTGACGCTTTAGAAGTTCAGTGTTCTATTGTAAGCAGTATTTACAAGCAAAAGCTATGACACTGGTTTTGCGTAGCGGGTTGTTACTTTTTGACTGCTGTTCTTTTTCATTGGTCTTGTTCGGAAACCATGCGTCTCTTCGGACGACTGCTCCCATTTTTAATTCATTTGGCAAAACTACGACGAACAGGACATTTGAAAGTGCGCAAGCATCAAACCCTTAGCCGATAATTTGTTTTTCCATCGTTTTTGAATTTTTGAAGTAGTCAGGGATGAGCACTTTCAAAGTTCAACGGCATGCGTTACCAAGCACGCGTTGACAGCACTGGGCATCGTCTGTTGACATCATAGGACGCGCGGCGTACGTCTATCGACGACGTCCGTAACACCGCTGACGTATTTGTTTACCGCTCGCATAACAACATGATCCAGTGCAGAGGCCGTAAAAGGGAGCTTTCAGAATTTAACGACCGACCAACCGACCTACCGACGACGGCGGTACTAGCCATGTCCTGACAGCGCTGGACAAATTGCGTTCAAGACCACGTGAGTCGTAAGGATTCATCGGTGTCTTCGTTGTCAACACACGGCCAGCGCCGCTGTCGGTCGGTCGTCAGTTGTTGGTCTCTGAAAGCACCCAGAGGTGGTAAGGACGTCGTCAAAAAATTTCCGCCGAGCAAGTAACGTTGTAAATTGACGATGTCCATTGCTGTTAACGTGTGTCTGGCAATGCTGCGAATTCAGCGCACGCACTGAACTCTGAAAGCGCCCAGTGACCTGCTTACTTCTAATGTGTGGGCTGGGTACATTCTGTACAACTGGATGGGTACATCTTGGGTAAGAAAAAAGTGAGGGTAAAGAGTGAGCCGATATAGGAAATCAAATACTAGGCTGACTCCTGGGTGAAACAGGCTGTCATGCCTCCTGTCTCGCTTTCTTGAGGTGAGTCACGCTTGGGAAAACGGAGGTAATGGACTGTGTATCTACTGACGATGACCATTCCCTGATTAGGTTCAAACGCTCAATATGAAGAAGGTTGATAGCTCTTTTGGTTGAGAGCTTCATCTGAGAAAATCCTATCAGAGTCCTAAAGCTCTGATTTCTATTTTCTTACCTTAATTCTGAAATGCAAGGCTCTCACTATTACCATCAAAATGTTAGCTACGCCAAGCTTTTTGCGTTATTGGAAATCTGTTCATATGGCCTTTGACATCTGCATCCTTGTCCTAGTTTTCACTCGAGCCACTCTCCATATATTAAAGGGCAGCCACGTAAATAAGGATGATTTCCGAAAAGTATTTGACAGGCACGGTTGTATCCGCCGGTTATGAGGCTCAGTCAGGTCTGTTGGGAGTATAAAATGAAGTTACGTTGAGTTCTTCGATTCGGGCAGCATTTCTGCTAGTTACGTTGGACGTCATGATGAAGGCTTATCCTGCTCACTGCGACGACGCGTCCACAGAGAGGAGAGGAATTCCGTAGATCCAGACTTTCTCAACTATCGAGGATTGAGGATGCAGGTGTATATACTCACTCACCCGTCAATGTTGGTACCAGTTTCGGTCGACGGTTGAATTTCCAGATCAAGTAGGTCGTCCGTTGAATTGTATTTGTCGAGGTCGGCGATTAGTTCGACACTATCAGCATAACTAATGACTCCCAGGCGAGTTTGGTACTCTTCCTCCTGACCAACAGTCAGTTTTGCGAAAGCTGACACTATGTAGTCCGTTGCCTAAAATTGGTGTTGCAATTAGTTAAGCGCTTGATTTTTATATTATCTCTCACTTTAAGTCTTGTCAAATATGAAAGGCTCAGAGAAGTTTGTATACTAGCTTCTGTATATAAGAAGTCAATCTGTAGTTCCTTTTTCTCTTTTTGCAGCATCCACCACGCAAAAAAATTTGAGAGTTTTTGAATCACTCAAGGGCACTGTGTGACCCACAACTGATATAAATCAGGAAGCTAATTCCAGCCTACCTACCGAAGATATTCCATTGCCACCTATCATAACACTTTTATCCATGAGAAGGAAAACATCAAGCCATATAGACGACACATTGCATTCGCAGGTAGTATTTATATATGTCAGGGAAGAAGGAGCACGGGCTGTGATGGGAGCTGTAATAAAATCGTTTTTGTTTTCTGGTAGATTTTCACTTGATAACGACGGCGGTTTTCTGTGCTATGCGTTTTACAGTACAAGTTTTGGAGTTGTAAGTTAAATAATTATTTTGTGATAACTCTTCCGTTAATATTATTACCATCATTTATAAATATATGTATTCGCATTTTTTCAACGTTTCGGAATCGGAAGCTTTTGGAGTATGTGTATGGTTAAGAAGTTGTGTCGCATGTAAATTCCGAAAAGTCACCGGTTCCCTACTGCATACATAACTTCTGGTTAGTTTCACGATTACAACTTATCCGGCAATTACTTTATGTTACTAATACAACATTCACTCACTCATTCTGTTCTCCTTTCTTATTTACACCCTTCTGTATCCCTTCCCGACAGGCACAATCTCCTAATTCGGGTCTTCCCCACTTCAACCAAGCTCTACATAGTTCTGCATAGCGTAGTAGGTTTTATGTGTAATTGACCGGAGTAATTTTTTCTACATAATAAATACGAGCTTGTAGGTTCAATGGCATGAAATATGCCGGAGCGGTCTTATGTCATCGAAAAGCTTTGATATACATATGCAGAAGGATAGCTGGCATCTCCTGCATCCTGTTTCCTAACTTTGATGTTCAATACTTAAATATGGCTATAGCCCTTGACCGATCGCTATTGTGGAAATCCATATGATAGTGACGATCAGTGGAGTTGGTTTCGTTGAAATCAAGTTGTTGAACTTGCTGCCGGAGTGTAGGTAATATCTCTACTTGGTCTGAGGGAGGCAATTATAGATTCACTTGTTGTAACAGCTACCACTGTTGAACTTGTTCCAGTGAAGAGCATTATGATCCATGTAGTGTAGACATTGGAGTTACCAGAAAATCAAAACTTATGTAGGATCCCACTCACTGTAAATCGCTTCGTCTGTCTGTCTGTCTGTCTGTCTGTCTGTCTGTCTGTCTGTCTGTCCGTCTGTCCGTCTGTCTGTCTGTCTGTCTGTCTGTCTGTCTGTCTGTCTGTCTGTCTGTCTGTCTGTCTGTCTGTGTGTCTGTCTGTCTGTCTGTCTGTCTGTCTGTCTGTCTGTCTGTCTGTCTGTCTGTCTGTCTGTCCGTCTGTCTGTCTGTCTGTCTGTCTGTCTGTCTGTCTGTCTTTCTGTGTGTCTCTCTGTCTGTCTGTCTGTCTGTCTGTCTGTCTGTCTGTCTGTCTGTCTGTCTGTC